CACTCCCAACAACCACACCACACCACAACAACCACACCACAACAACCACACCAAAATATTTACACTACACCACAACAACCACACCACACCACAACAACTACACTACAACAACCACAGCCACAACAATTACACCAATACAACTACACCACAACAACTACACCACACCAAACCACAACAACCACACCACAACAACCACACCACAACAACCACACCCCAACAGCCACACCACAACAACCACACCTCAACCAACTCGAGTAGGGGTCCACTCGGATCTTCTCCCTGATTTTCAAGTTGTCCTCAACATCGTGCCTCTTACAGCATTGGATGCCAATATTGGGAAAGGTTCTGACGTATTCATAATAATAATGATAATAATAATAATAAAAATAATAATAATAATAAATAATAATAAAAATAATAATAATAATAACAGTAATAACAACAACAATAATAATAATAAAATAAAGAGAAATAAAATAATAAGTTTGAGACGCAATAATTATTATAACATCAATAATAATAACAAGAAGAAGAATAATAATAAGGCTCTGACGTAATCCCGATCAAAAAAATAATAATAATCAAAAGAAATCACGACATGACATTGATTTGACACAGCAAGTTGCCCATCACTTTGATATGATGCACTCCTACTTTGATATGCACTCCTACTTTGATATGCACTCCTACTTTGATGTGCACTCCTACTTTGATATACACTCATACTTTGATGTGCACTCCTACTTTGATGTGCACTCCTACTTTGATATGCACTCCTACTTTTACTGTCTCCATAGACATGCTCTCACAAATGTTTCACCACAAAACCTTTCACCTCGTAAGACATCAATCCTGTTACAGTCTTGCCTCCACTTCATTTCATCCAGAATATATTATTGTAATTGGCTTCTGTGCAAAGCTTCAGCTGCTAGAAAATCACAGAATGTTCCAAACCAAATACTTTTACTCGCTCTTCCAACCAGGCCTCTCGTTCCAGTTTTGTTTTTCCAATCCACACTGGCTGCCACTTTACTATCGTGTTGTTGTTAATTTTTTTCAAATTAATTATCGGTGGTATCGACAAAAGAAGTAACAGCCTAATTGCTGCGTGTAAAAATGGCATATGGGGACATCCGTGCAGTCGAACCCAGTAACTCCGACACCAGGGCAAGGCACATCAACTGTTACAACACCTCGCCATCGACAATGTGCTGCAAATACACTGCACATGACACTGCAGTCTTCTAACTTCAGATCATCTCCAATCAGTGCAAGCCAATTAAGGTTCTCACTGTTGCCAATCCAGCAAGCGATTGAAATTCATCTCTTCCTCAATCATCTCTTCCGAATGAAGACCCTCAAAAGCAAATAGAATTACAACACTTAACAAGTGTTTGCAGTAATAATAACAATAATATTTACATTATTATTGTTATTATTGTTATTATTATTATAATTATTATTGTTGTTGTTGTTATTATGAACAACACCCTCTGCACTAACATAACGGAACTTGGATTCTTCACTTTAACAGTGCAGACGCCATCCTTGCAATCCTGACCGACCAGGTTGTGGGGGTGTGGGTAGTAGGGTTTGTCCTTCGTCACACACGATACAACTACAATTGCTGCAGGTCCCTCGAAGTTGTGGATCTGTGCGTGCGTTTGCATTTGTTTGCTTGCTTGTTTGTGTGAGTGTATTTCTTAAACGTTTTCGTATCTATCATTCAAGGCCAGCTTAAATCAGGTCAAAGGTTAGAATGACCGGTCAAAGGTCAGTCCATACAAAATTTTCATGTCCCAACCTTTCCATCATTCTACCTTTAGCCATTTGCCTCATAAAACTTCACTGCTTATATTGCTGTTTTGATTTATATAAAGTGAATATTTTATCTGTTGTTGCTGCTGCTGTTGTGTGTGATTGTGTGTCATTGTGATTGTGTGTCATTGTGATTGTGTGTCATTGTGATTGTGTGTCATTGAGACAAACATGTAACCTTGATAGAAGGATAAGTTTTCCGATCGCTGGTGCTGTGTTCTCCCGGAATGCTCCCTGCTGACCTGCCCTCACACTTGTACCTGAACCTCAACCCTCGCTGTTTCGGCTGTTCATCGATTGACACGCAGGGATCCTTGCGAGCTGGTGTCTCCTGGACCATCAAACTGTCGAATGAAATGTTAGGCCAGTTCTTATCATTTGTATTTAAACATTCATTATTATTATTACTACTACTATTATTATTATTATTATTATTATTATTACCATTAAGTACACTCCTTAGTTGTTCTCAGAGGAAAATTCACGGTAACACGTAACATGAACGTTAGTTAGAAACAAAAATTTCCAAAATAAGGGAAATCTCAGAATTTGTAAAACTGACATTCTAATTTTAGCATAATATAATAATTAATAATTAGTTTAAATCAATTAGACTAAATTAAATCAATTAAATATATATATATATATATGATAGTTGTCATCTGTATGACATTTACCCACCTTTTGCCAGGTTGCAACTTGCTGAAGTTTGGGTTCTGTCTCAGGAAGTTGTTGATGACATCTAAATTGGCTTGTTGCTGGCTTGGTATGTCTGCAAGACAAATTATTAACTAACTCTGTCTTGTGTGTCACTATTTAATTGTTAATCATTAATGAACTCAAAAACTGGTCAAATATATATTAATAATGAGTTGATGATGAAATTAAAAATTAAAAAGAAATTCAAGTTTTTACATTTTTGACATGAATTGACTTTAATATGTTTAATCAATTATTAATTATTGAATGAAAGTTATCATTTTTTATACGTCATTAATAAAAATTATTCGTTACCTTATATAGAATTAAATTATTTTTTAATTATTTATCATTTAATATAAAACAATTCATAATCCCATTGCAATTCCTGGTTCAGGTGAAACTTAAACATCACATGAAGGTTCAGACATGACAACTCGTCACTGACGCTTAATTAAGAAATATTCGATGAAAACAGTACATACCGGCCATTTAAATAAAACTTTCTTCTTTTCAAATCTGGGAATTTGTAATTTTGATTGAATTCCAAGTGGGAATCAGCCAATCTCCAACTAAAATCGCCAAATTTCCCTTTTCCACAGGAAATTCTTTCTATATTAAGCAATGTGGGGAAGTACGCATTTCCTCAAAATTTAATTGATGAAAATTTTTTATTAAAAATATTAAAAAATTTTATATTGAAATTATTTATATTTTAAAAATATAAATTAAACTAATTTTATGTAATTTTGTTTGAAAAAACTTGTTTAATTAAGCGCTTCAGAATGTTCGTTGCGTGTTAAGTTCAGCACGTCTCGTTGGTAAATTCATCTTTCCAAAAAAAAAGCGTAAAGTGCCTGAAACTTTCCGAAATGTTCCGATCAGCATGTCGGGTTCTGGCGTTCGTCCTCTTCCTCTTCTATGTGATCGGTTCGGTTCGGAGCGAGGAGCTGAGTTTCGAACTTCCTGACAAGGAGAAGATGTGTTTCAATGAAGTTGTTCGCCAAGGTACTCCCTGTATTCTCGAGTATCAGGTTCTTACGTTCGTTCGTTCGTTCATTCATTTTGTTCACTCATTCGTTCGTTTATTTTATTTAGTTTAGTTTTTATTACTCTCTTAATTTACAGTTTGCTTATTAAAGTAAACAAAACACATATAAACGGCTAACTAAGCTAAGGCTAACACTAGGCTAAGCTAACTAAAATAAATGAAATTAGCAATTAAAAATATAATGAAAAAACATAATGGTTAATCGTTAATTACATTGATTAGTGTGCTGTTGCAATCCTTATTATAAGATATCTTATATAATACTTATAGTGATAGTCAAAATCTAAGCATATATATTCAATATTGTTCAGTGACATATTCTGCCTTCTGACATATTCTAGTATTACCCCTATGTTAGAATTTGATTCCAATTTCTTTTCAATACCTAAAGAAAAAGGTATTTAATTTATAATAGTATAATACCAAAGCCAACTTGTCAGACTAACTTGTAGTAACTCACTAACTATGCCGACTCACCAGGTAATAGAGGGAGGAAATTATGATGTTGATGTAATCGTTAAAGCTCCAACTGGTGCAATCCTATACAACGAGCAGAAAAGGCAATATGACAGATTCGAATGGAGTGCTGAAAGTGAGGGAGAGTTCACTTTCTGTTTCAGCAATGAGTTCTCCACATTCACTCACAAGATCATCTACTTTGACTTCCAGGCCGGTGAGGATGAAAGGATCAAGTCTAAAGAGGATGGTTCTGGTCCTGTCACTCAGGTGGCTTGTGCTTAACAGAACATATCATTATCATATATGATTGCTAACTTTATGTATATTTAATTTAAATACACTAGTGTGCATGTGTGTGTGTGTGTGTGTGTGTTATGATGGATGTGGTATGAATACTTAGATATTTAGAGGTGTTGGGCCGATAGATACATTTCATGTGTATGTGTTTAGTTTGAGTGATATGGGATGTGTTTATTTTTACTATTTAATTTGAATTGTTTTTTTGTACCTAGTAATTTAATTTTACTTATTTGTATTTAATTTGTATTGTTGAACTCATTGTATTTTAAATTTTTATCAATTTCAAATTAACAACTTCACAGAAAGCAATCCAGCCCTTTATGCATAATTTTTATTGACTTTCTATTGAATTGATTATATATAAATTTTGAAACAAATTGCCTGTATACTTGTATATGCGTGCAGTTGGAATCGACAGTGGCCAGCATTCACAAGAGTTTCAAGCTGACGATCGACCACCAGACTCACTATCGACTGAAGGAGGCCCAGGACCGATCGTTTGCAGAAGACTTGAATGAAAGAGTCCAGTACTGGTCGATCGGACAGACAATCATCATCTTCGTGGCAGGCATCGGGCAGATCCTCATTCTCAAAAGTTTTTTCACCGACAAGAGGCCGTCGAAGGCTTCAACGTGATTTGTTGTATCTATCGTTCATCCTCAATAATTTGTTTGGTTAATTTATTATATTCATTCTCAATACTATTATTACTGTTATTTACATTGATAAATTATATTTTTAATTCGAAAGTGTAATTTTATATTCATTTTTTAGTGGTGTTTTTTCCTCTGTTAAATTGTCAAAATAAAAATTTTGTTGATAGTTTATATAATTCAGCAATTTTGAATATTGTATTATATAAACTTATTATTATTATTATTATTTAAAAGTTTATATTAAAAATATTTAAATATAAATATTTTTTATACACTATACGTTAACAAACCCACAAACACGCATTTGATGTGATTGATTAGCATGACTGGATTATGTTTGCAGTTGAACCGGGCCTCTGCATAGCTGCCTACCAGAGTAGTACATAGCTCATTACTGCTCCTACGTGTCGAGCATTTTACATACCACATGTTTATAATAGCAGGATATTAATTTATAGTTTTTCCACCAAATGCGTTTATCAAACAAACATGGTTGATATTGTAGCTTTATTAAGTTTGTTTACTTCTTCGTTATGACATGTTAAGTTTTGTTAGAACGTTTCGTTTAATGAAGGAGGTAGTTGGTTGGTTATTATATCCAGCAAGATGTCAGAATCGGATGAAAAATATCCAACTCTGGCCTCTCACAAAATTCTGGCTTTTGCAAAAATTTTCGGCATAGGTTATATTTAAGATTGTGATGTTTTTTAAGAGATTGGAGCATTGTTTTTTCAGCAAAATACAACAGACAGCGTTTCTGAGAGGCATAACTCGATAGAGGTGCTTATGATTCTTCTCCAATAAAACACAACGCAGTATGGAGGTCTGTATAAATAGGTGATACTTAAACATGTAAGTTAGGGGATAAATTGATCATATGGTTTTTATAGTATCTCTTCAAAATCTCTTCGTTGGGCGGGTTTTCTCATGAAGTGTGCCTGCGCAACGGATGTGTGTGTGTGTGTGTGTCGTTTGTGTGTGAATGTGAATAGGTGTTTGTATATATATAATTTATATATGTATATATATATATATGTTTATGTTACTAATTCTATGTTTATGTGAAATTATTGTTAGAAAATTTATGTTGGAAATAGATTGATTAATCAGCCCACCTAATATAATTATTACACATTGCCGTTAGTTTCGCTGTCACTTTTCCGGTATGTCTGATTGCTATCAATCAATCAATCTTCGTTTAGCGTCCAGAGACCCAGTTTCCCGAGGTAGGACGTGATTGATTGATTGATTGATTGATTGATTGATTGATTGATTGATTGAGTTTCGCTCTCACTTTTCCTGTATGTCTGATTGCTATACATTTTCTGTGTTATTTTTTTTCTGCTTTCTCATCTATAGTTGAATATAATGTAATCTTACGTCAGTAGTAATCCTATATAAATAACGACTTTGAATAACGCTTAATAATAATAATATAAATAATGCTTTTGAATGGGCTCGATTGTAATAATGGTAACTGTATTCTTTTGGTTTCGTCCATTTATTATTCATATATGAAATGGAACTCTGGTGTAGTTTAAGATTCGTATTTGCATTTGTTTGTGGTCGGAGCTAAACGTTTGTACCTATTCGTGCAGCCTTTTTGTACATCAAACATAAGAATGTATTAATCTTTTTATTATTACATTTGGATCAAAATCATTCTATATATGAATAAACTTATTAGCAACATGTCTAATGAAATTAGACATGCATTTATGAATATTTTTAGTTTTTAATGCGTTTCTGTTTTATTAATTCATTATTTTTGGTTTGTATAATTTTACATAAAAAAAAAATACACCATCAAATCATGGCACGTTGTTTTCAACTGTAACGATTACAATACGATGCAAACGAGTGAACAGTGTCTTAGAAAAATTCAATTGTTCTCTTATTCAATAAATTATATGAATCAATCAATTAATTTCTCAAATAAATAGTAAAATAACGAATAAAAATATAAACAAAACGATGTGGAAAATGACTGCAATAAATAACAAGGATGAAATGACACGCAAGATGATGCACTGCGCTATTACGTGCTTTCTTGTACGAGCTAAGGAGTTCAGTTGGCTGCTGATAGAAATTACAAATATCTACAAAATTACAGTGAGAAAGAAGATTAGCAGTAGTGAAATTGCAAACAACATCTACGGCGCAACGTCTTTCGAAGTTCTGTTTTTCAAATGTTGCCCCGTCAACACGGGTACTGTTTCAGCGCCGGCTGACATTCGTCAGCGTCACTCGCGTAGTCGTCGTCGTCCTCATCGTCGTCGTTAATTGTATTTACGGCTGGTGTGAGGTTGTTGATGGCGCATGACTTGATGGGAGAGTTGACCAGATTTGTAGAGGAGGTGTGGTTGCTACTCGTTGTCGGGCTCAATGGTTGTTGCTGTTGAAGGCGTTGCTGCTGCTGCTGCTGAGGCTGTGGTTGTGACGATGTTTGGCCAGTAGTGAGATTTTGTTTTTGTAAGTGTTTTTGTTGTTGGTGCATCGTGTAAACGGTCTGTGGCGAGTGGAAAGAAAAAGTGGGACCCAAGGTATTCTGATTTGATTGACATGAAGCGACATTCGGACCCGACAATGCACTGTTGTTCACTGTAATTATATTCCCATTGTTTTTGGTCACGTTAAAAATGTTGAGGCCGGCATTCTCTAAATTTTTCCTCAGTGTGGATGCAGTAACTCTTCTTTGGGGGTCGGGATGCCAGCAGCCATCTACCGTTTCTCGAATTTCCTGTGGAAACTCAACCGGCAATTGTGGGACGGGTTGTTTGCCGCTCTGCATTTCTAATAAGAGCTGACTGTCCGACAAAATACCGTACGGACGATTGCCACCAGTGAATATTTCCCACAACAAAACGCCCATGGACCAGATTTCAGTGAACCAACCAGCCTCCCCAGACACTACCTGTTCAGTGGGACACCAACGTAAGCTCAACACTTGCTGGCATGGGCACAGACAGTAATCGGCTTCGTACACCTGTCGAGACACTCCAAGGTTTGTGAGTCGCAAGCATCGGTCTGCCGTCTTAGGTACCAACACATTTCTCGCTGCTAAATCGCCGTGATAGTAACCTTGCTCACTCATGTATTCGAGGCCTCTGGCAACTTGGCAACCGTAGTCTAAGGCAGAGGGTAAGTCAAAAGAGTTTGTTGAAGTCAAGAGGTTTAAGTGTTGTTTCAAGTCGACACCATCAACGAATTCATACAAAAGTGATCGAGGTGAGCCCGCATGACACAACGCCACACACTTCAAGACGTTTTGGTGGTCGTGTCGAAGGGATGATATTGATCTCAATTCTTTTTCAAAACGCGTTTTCAATGTGGGATCTGCGTGCTCACTCAATGTAGCCACAATGACTGGCTTCTGCTGCTGCAACAGAGCTTGCTGTTGAGGAAACATTATGTTGCTCTGATGGTCAATCAACTGACCGGCATACACGGGACCGAAATGACCACTGCCAATGGGATAGAGAAAGGAGATGTTGACGGCAGACACGGTCGGAACATTGTTGTACATGGCAACTGAATTGTGACCAGACGACGAGGAGGACACCACGGTGTTGGGGTAGTGTGACTGGAACTGGTTGCTTTGGTAGGTGGGTGATTGTTCCTTTCCATTCAACAACATCCCTGGAGCAGCTTTCTTGCTCATCATGTTGTTGCTGAGAAGTGCGTTGCTGTTGTTACTTGATTCCAGGTCCTTCAGCTGTTTCTTCTTGGCCTCCAATGATTTCTCCTCACTGTTACAACGTCTTTTGATGAAAATTGCTAGAAGGCAGACGATAAGAATGGAAGCCGCCAGCACAGCCACTATGTAGATGATATGGTTGACTTGGTCGTGGGGCGAACCTGGTACGTGATTGTAACAGTAGACTAATGTTGATTTGAATTTAACTTTGATAATAAACAATTGTTATAATCAAAAATTTAAAATATTCGTGAAGCGTCTATCAAATAACGAAATATTTAAACCGACTGTTAAAACTGAAAATTCAATTTTAGTAATCGTGATTTGTTTCAGTTCACTGTCACTGAGACAATTGCAAAGTTTTCAATAACAAACTTGTGGGCGGCCTCCAAATGCAGTGGTTAGGGTTCTTTTCAGGTTTCGAACCGTAGAGTCCAACGCCGTGAGAGGCGGGAACGCACGATGTATCTTTCGGGAGGAGGTTGCTGAACTCTGTGCAGTGAACATCGAAAAAAATATTTTGAAATTTGTAAATATCACTAAATATATAAATCACTAATGAAAACAATTAAAAGAGAGTTTAGTTGATCTAATTACACGATGTCGTTTTGAAAAAAGAGCAATTGGAAACTTGTCTTCTGCATGAAATGAATCAAAAATCAAAATAACACTTAAAGTTTATTACCAATGTCATTCTCATTAACTGTTAACATTAATTAAAAAACTAATGTTGTTAACATTGTTGGAATAGATTAATGTTGTTGACATTAAGGATTCCACAATTCTACTTCTAAATTTTGAAGTTTTGAATAATATGCACCGGTTCTGGAGCTATGTAATCAACGCGCATATTTTAGCTGAATGTTAATAGTGCAGTTAATGTAATGTAATGAAACGTTCAGTTAATGCGTTGTAATGTTCAGTTAATGTAATGAAATGTTCGTTTAATGTGACGAGTCATGACGAGCCACAACACCCACCAGCCGCTGACGACGACAAGCGAATTATTTCCCTCTCAGCCTGACATTTCTCACTTTCGAACGTCTTGCAATCATCGTAGCACAGCAGCGACAGAATGCTCGATGGAGTCTCGTCTTCAAATTGTGGCTGTCGTGGCCGTTGTCGTCGACGTTGTTGCTGCTGTTGTTCGTGCTGCAGAAACGCCTGGTTGTGGCTGCCGCATGTCTTGAAGAAGAGGCGACACAAATAGACTGTCGCTATCCGAACGCACGTGTCGTCGGCTGTTTTTGAAGTCATCATGCCTAACTTCAAACCTATCAGGTTATTTTTATGGAATTATTTGTTTAATTTTATACAATTAATATTTAGTCGTGTTAGTTTTGATTTTTACCAATACTGTTTATTTTATATTAAAACTGATTTACCGCTTTCATGAAAATGATTACGATTTGATGTTGGCTGAGGGCATTATTAAATGTACGCATACAGCCTCATGTTTTATACTTTCACATTTACATTCTCAAATTAGTTAATTTATCTCTTTCCACTTCTTAATTTCCTATTTCTTATAAGAAGTCTATTGTTATTCCTATTCTTAAAAACTCATCTTTAGATCCTTCCTCTCTATCTAATTATAGACCTATTACTGATTTAAAGAGTTAAGATAGAGATTTCATTTTGCAAGTAAATGAAACCAAGCCGACGAACCGACAGAATAATTCCAAAACATAAATACAAATGACCAACTGGCTAATCTTTTCTCCACGAACGATTGTGACCCGACATCGTGGATGACGGCCACATTGACGATCGGCGTCAGCGGTGGCATGAACCCTGGCGACGAAGACAACAGCGACGAAGATGACGAAGACAGTGTGATGTTGTTGTTGAAGGCCCCCCTACAAACATCGCCCATGTACGGAGAGCAGTTTGGGTGCGGCGGGGGGTTCTGCTTCTTCCGATGTTTCAACCTGGTCGGTGAGGGGTTGTTGCATTTTTAGTTGTTCATCGTTCGGTCAGTAGCATTTATATTTAACATGCAAAAAACCGCGGTAATGAAGATGAAAATGAGGATGATGATGACGACGATGATGATGAACATATGATTTCGTTGTGATTTTAGTCAGTGATGATGACGAAGACAACAATGATGGTGATAATGATGACGACGACGACGATGTGGATGATTAATATTCCGAACGAAAACATGCATTTAATGCGAATGCACATTAAAGATTGCTTCAAACACTGAGCCCATCAGCACCACCATTAACACGTGCCTTTAAAACGCAAGAAATTATCATCAAGATGATGATGATGATGATAATAATAACGATGATGATGATGATAAATAAGTGATGATTGTGAAAATGATTATGATGATGATGGCAAATATGTGATGAAGATGATGGTGATGGATGGTGACGATGATGATAAAAACAAACACAGTAACTAATTAAAAATGATAAAATGAAGAGGAAAAAACGAAAATATTTCTGTACGGTCACACGCGCACACACGCACGCACGCATACACACACGTACACACACACAAACACACACACACAGACACACGTCTACGTTGATTAGGCTATATTGATTTTAAACTACAAATTTATAACAGATTTTCTTGTCATAAATAACGTAAAAAACACAACAAATTATGAAAATTAATCGAACGAAAGAACAAACAAGCTAACAAACAAGCAAGCACACACATACATTTATATATATATATATTAAAGATACATATATATATAGAGAGAGATAGAGAGAAAGAGATAGAGAGAGAGAGAGAGAGAGAAATATAGAGAAAAAAAAAGTGAAAGAAAAAAGAGTTAATAATAATCGTTATTTGCC